GGTAACACAAAAACAAAACCTGTTGCAGAGCATATGTTTATCTCAATTCCAATAAGAATACTGAAATAATCTCCAACCAGATTTCCTGGAGAAACTTTTCCCATAATTGTTGAAAATTTTGCATTCAATAAGAACAAGCACAAAAGGAGACTAGGGAGTAGATGCTGTTTTCTTGCAAATTAAACCTTCTTATAGCAAATTTTTTCTGAAAAGCAATTCAAGCTAAAACAACTAGCACATTACTTATTCTTCCTTCAAAACAACAATAGCATTATACATGTTTGACATCAATTTGATAAAGCACTTACTTCCTCTTTCTTTTTCGATTATCAGAACCCCCAGTAGAATCAAACAGAGAGGCATCAAGAGTAGCAGGGTTTCTCGAAGCAAGGAATGCAGATATAAGAAGATACTTTGCAGAAGTGGACATATGAAACTCTACCTCATCAGAGGCTTCAGAAACTCCCTCCGCTTTCCTTGCATTGCCCTTTCCCTTGGCTTTGTCCTTGTTATGTCCAGCTTCAACCCTAAAAATCTCATTCAGGGAAGGCGCAATATGTGGCTGAAGATGACTAAACAACATTCTTTTCATTTTTTCATTAGGAAAAATGCCCAAGTCACTCAATGGTTCACAATATTTTTTAAATAATGCTGGAAAGGCAGTAGATAATTCATCAACACGTCTTGTAATTCGAGAGAAAGGCCTCAGTAGCACACTGTTTCAACAAGAAACCCAAATTAATATATTCATCAATTGAACCTTATGAAAAAAGAATTTGATGGCAACAGCGATAGTAGTAAGTCGTTATCCATACTCGAGAAATGAGGAATAAAGTTTTGGGTTGCATTGATTTCTCATCAAGATTTGGCGAAGATCATCTTCTGTGTATTCAGGAAAATAAAGAGGGACAGGCTCTGTATACCCTGTGTTGAAGTAATATGTGTCCGGCGAGGTGTTACTTATAAAAATGAGACCCACCTCAGGCATCTTCATAATATCATAGAGCATAAACAGAAAAGGCAATATATTAGAACTCTTTTCCCAGTCCCGAACAAGCTCCAAATTATCGAATATCAAATAGATAATCTGCCCTTTCGCTTGTCCCACTAGCTTCTTTGAGTTAGATTTTCCCATATTCCCCTTCAGACTATTAATTATATTTCCCAATGCTTCCCTTAATAAATTAACAAATTCAGAAGGCCTTTCACAGCGCTTTGCACTTGAATAACCATTGCCTTCATGTTTCCTATGAAGCAAGAGTTGGTTCAAGATAGACTCGAATAATATTCGAGGACTGTAACAGGTAAGACAACTCGAATACACAAATGGTCGATTCAGGTGTCTGAAAATCTGAAGAACTGTGCTTGTTTTCCCTCTGCATGCCCCTCCATAAATAAATAAAGGAATCACTGGAGAATTCAAGGGACCCAAGAGCTGCAGTAATTCAAGGATTTGAATTCGCCTACCAGGAAAACTACAAATCAAATCATCAAAGCTTATGGGTTCATCTCCATATACGAGGTCATTGTGTGTTAGAGGTTGGGAATTGCAATTATGAAGTACTGTTTCAGCTGCACTGTTCAAATTGGGGTTGGAAGAGGATGCTCTTGTGGTTCTTCTGGTAATTTGTGGACTTTCTTCTTCACCCATTTCTTTCAAGGTACACAAATTGCAAAATGCCTGGTCAATTAAGAGAAAAACAACTAAGAAACAAAGCTTGAAACATGCCAGATTAAGCAAATTTGCACTATTATGATAAAATGTACCATAGTCAAAAGAACAAAAATTTAAAAGACCAGTTTAAATATCTATATACTAGTAATTGCCCGTGACTGAAGGCATGAAGTAACAAAGAATTATTGTTGTCAATTTAAGACATACCAAATAAAAGATAACTATAGACATTGAGAAATGTATCTAGAGACACTTTTTCTTATACCTATCAACATACTTGCATCTAAAACTTCAAAATTAAGCATAAATTTCTATAAATTCATCTATTAGTCAATTTCCTATTCTCAATCAATCATCAAACACTAAAACCAAACTATGTAGTTTCATATTTTGCACAAAACAACTTGTAAAAAAGGTTACACAAAAAAATAACTCGTTACACAATGTTGATGTGAGCTATTTGTTATCAAGTTAATCAATCTCAACTTTGTAAATTTCTTTGATGATTGTTTCATTGATATCACAGACAAAGAAATTCTAACTATTTCCATTATTCCACACATAAAACGAAAATTGAATAGATAATTCGTGCAAACACTCATGGACATACATAAACTCAAATCCTCAAATTAATAGGAATTAAAAGAAAACAAATGTGAATATAGTTGTCTTTCGACCCATAAACAAAAAATCGAAAAAACAAAGACTCAATCCCATACAGTACCTACGCCACCTTGAATAAGTGCACAATTGAACTGTTGTAGCTCAGAGCTTTAAACTTATCAAGGCTTCAATGGATTTTTTGATTGGTCAACCCTGCAAAGAACATTCAAGAACAATTAAAACAGATTTGCACATGAGAGAGTGAGGAAAATAGATTTCGGGTTGGGGAAGATGCTAACACGGTCAACCGCCGAGTCGAATCACCAAATGGTCGGCTAAGGACTGGGCTGAAATTCTTTTTCTTCTCTTTAACATTTTCTCGATAATCTAGAAATCACCTCATGAAATACAGCAAGAACATAATACATACACAAACAAACATACACACTCTGATCAAACTGAACAGGTCAAATCAAGCAAAACAGAGAATCAAAAGTTCAGAACAAACCAATTCAAGAACTATTAAACAAACTAATATTGAGCATCTTTATCAGCACCAGCAAAGATATTCACAAAATTGAAAAGAGAACAAACCAATCCAAGAGGTGTTATTTTAAAAAATTAATAGAGATTAGGCTTGATGTACAAACAACTAAAAAACATACCGAAGGCATAGAACGATATGTTCTTTTATTATGACTACCCAAATTATAGTAAAAAGTAATGAAAATTTTAACAATTATAAATAATAGTAACAGGAAGACCACCTCCATATAAAGAAGAAATTATAAGCTGAAGCGAAGATAAAAAAGTAAAACACAACAAACTGATTTGCCACAACAACATCCCGATTCCATTAAATAATAAGAAAGTTCAGTTCAGCTACAAACCAAATGGCTTCAAGGATTCAAACACAAAACATTGCATTTAGTCTCCCTCATCCTTTTTGGATTTTTTTCCATTGTTTGACCTTCTCCTTAGCACCCTGCAAAAAAAATTAAAAGTCAAACACCATGAAGCATTAAATGTTATTATCATAATGCACATTGATAACACAAACTTCCAACAAAAACAAAAAATTAATGCTAAAACACACCTCCAAGCCTAAAACTATTAGTAGCAAACAATTATCACATAAACCAATCATCTTTACGTTCATAAAAAAAAAAAAAAACCAATCATCTTTAGCAGCGGCATCTACAAAAGCCTATTCCTTTGTAAGAAACCTGTAAGCATTTTCTAACAGCCACAACTATTGGCCATATATTCCCCCTCACCTCTAGCTAACCTAACCAATGGGCGAAGTTATGCATATGAGTGCTTATCATCAATCATAATAATACATTGAGCTAGATTCCATTAACTACCGGCCAACCCAAATAATCTAATGAGAACTAATTAAATCTACCAGAAAACCAAAAAAAAAAAAAATGTATTAAAATTGAGAGACCCAACTCAAGAAAAAAATGGGCGGCGGGATCATGATGATATTATTTTAAAATTCTCGAATGTTTTTCAGTTTCAATCATCTTCTATTAAGAAATCAACACAAAAAAGTCCTCAACCACTGAAAGAAAATAATTAAAATGCTCACAAATTAAGCATCATTCTAATAAAATGGAAAGGGGGAAATATACTTCATGCCCAATAATGGTTGTAATCTCTGCATCGATCTAAAATGATGAGGCAACGTTGTAAACACAGCAATCTGATAAGCAAAATGCACTAATATCTGGCTCATTGTCAAAATGCTATACTTCATGATCTGTTTAACGAAACTCTTGGAACAACAAAATTTTTCAAGTTTATAAAGATCATGTATTGAGAAACTTCATTTTCCTAAAGGATGCTTTCAAATTCAGCACCTTGTTATTTACTTCAATTGTTTAATTCATGTTCTTTTGAATTTGGTCGATTTTTGTCCATGGATCTTCACAGAGTCACCTTCTCAAATAAGACCACCCCAAAACTGAAGACACAACTTTTTGAAATCAAATGATATCACCTCTTTCACATTTTATAAACACATAAAATCACCTAATTAAAAATGTTCATTCAAATGAATACGCATTTCATTGATACCAATAATAGAGATCCTAATCTTTTGTGGTTACTGTTGTATCACACACTAACAATCATTCCACTTTCGTTTGCTAATCACTAACATTGATCACTTAAAAATCACAAAAAATCATTGTTTTGTGTTAAAGGTAATAATCTAAAAAATAATATCAGAATATAAATAATTTAACTTACTGTTGTGTCAGCAAGAAAAATTGACAGCTCCACAATATCGATCTTCTCTATCATTTCAAATTTTTGCGATCCACGATACATCTACTGTGCTGGAGCATCTTATCTTCTTTCAACTCACATGTTTTTTACCTGTTTATACCTAGTTCTAACTCACTGTCTTAAACGAAAAAACATACCGGTGGCAATTTTCCAACCAAATCCTCTCACACCAATTAAATAGAATCATTGGTTGGGTTGGTAAATTGATCATGTATTATTACCTTCAATGATACCCCCGAAAGAAGAGAAAGCGTTTTTTTTCAAACGGAAGCAAAATGCACTGGATTATGCACTGGGTCTTTTTGATTTCTTGATTTGGTGGTGAATACTGGAAGGAATCGGCAAAAGATACGGAAGCTGGCAAATTAGGAATAAAGTTAAGATTGGAGACATCCCATTGGACAGACGGACGAATGAATTAGGCAGCAAATTCAGAATTCTAAATTCCAATTAAAATAGATTGAATCCCTTACAGGCCTATAATTGAATCCTCCCACTGGATTATAATGAAATTCAACATGAACATTCAAGAGTCAGACAAATCATAACATGAGAGATATAAAAAGAGAAAGAAAGGAAGAGATACCGACCTCGATTAAAAAACAAAGAAGATGATGAACGCTAATGGGGAATCGTTAGTGGATAGTGGTCTGGTCGCCCAAAGCAATATCTGAAGTCGGGAAGAGTTGTCGTCGGATTAAAAGATAGTTTCCCAGTTGAAACCCTCGAAATTAAAGAAGGAAGGCCAAGGCGTGACGCGTGAGGCTTCTTCTTCTTCCTATTAGTATCGGGGTTCCGAATTATCGGATTCTTTCGTTTGACTTGGAAGGGGCGTATGAGATTGCAAGAGAGAGAGACGTGAGTCATTTAACATATAAAATAGGGCAACACAGGAGCGAGAGAGGAGAAAGATACGAGGTGAAGATTTAACCGATAGACTATGTTATGTGCAAGGGTTCAAACCCTTGTTATTTGGTTATGGTCTGATGGGTTGAATGTATGTCATTTCACTTAGTTTTTATTGCTTTTTATTTTCATTGATTGAGTCCTTGTAAGTGGGCCGAAAGGCTAGTGGGTAGTTATTGAGTCTTGTAGTCTGTTTTGAGTCAGTTGTTCAGTCCTTATTTACTGGGCAATGCCCCACGTTGTGTAATTGTCAGTTATCTCCTGACCTATTTATGTTTGATGTTGTTCAATCAAAAGAAAAAAAAGAAAAAAGAAGTCATTTGTTCAATCTACAAAACATCAAAAAAAGGCCTGGTAACCTCGAATTACCATAAACAATTCAGTCACTAGACTACATAATTTTACAGTATAACAGTGGTATCAAAGCTACGGTTCTGCGACAATGGCTGAAGGTACTAGGCATGCGTAAATGACTGAAGCTTTGGCAGCACTGAAAGGAGAGAACACCCACCTGTGTGAAGAATAGGAGCGTTAGAAGGAGATGTTAGCCACAGTACTCAAACAGATCACTAATCTGACATCTAGCTATGAGGCCTTAGTAACACATCACCATCCTGAGGAAGCTTCTTCCAATTCTAAGGTCAATAACAATCCTTTATTTGAGGGAAATGGGGGAATTCAAGCTAGGTCCTTAAGGTTGGATTTTCCTAAATTTGATGGTACTGATCCGGATGAATGGATTCAAAAGGCACAACAATTTTTTGAGTATTACAAAACACCCGATGACCAAAGGCTTCAAATAGCTTTTTTCCATATGGAAGGAAAGACCCTATCTTGGTATAGTTGGTTAAAGGAGTCCAGCCCAGTCCAAACTTGGGATGATTTTATTGCAGCCTTAGAAGTGAGATTTGGACCTTCAGCCTATGAGGATCCTGTAGGGGAATTTACTAAATTAAGGCAAAATGGGACTGTAGAAGCCTATCAGACACAATTCGAAATACTTTCTAATAAAATAACTAGTTTATCTGAAGAGTTTCGAATTAGTACCTTTCTCAGTGGCCTTAGGGAGGATTTAAGGATCACTGTCATCATGTTTAAGCCATCTACACTTTCAGCAACCTTCGGTTTGGCTAGGTTACAGGAGGAAGAAGTGCTTAGGTGTGTACGATCAA